GGGAGCCTGTCGGGAAAAAGTGAAGAAGCGGACAAAACGTAAAATAGCAGCTTCTGGCTGCATTTCAGTGATATCGAGGACTGCAAAGCAGAGTGCAGAATTGATAAAACTAGGAGCAGGCTAAAGTGATACCTGTTTTTATTTTCAGCCATTATCCATTGCCGAGGACAACACGTTTCAAGACTTATGACGACTTTGAAACCACGTATCGCTCTTACTCTCAACAGCAGCGGGTGCTGCTGTGGGCACCTCGCCAAAGCGCTCACAGGCGGCAGATAGTCCCCCCAGGTCAGGGGTCTGCAACCTTTAACACCCAAACAGCCACTTGGACCCGGTTTCCACGCAAAAGAAAACACTGGGAGCCGCAAATACTTTTTGAAATCTAAAATGAAGATACCACTGTATATATTGTTTGTTTGTTTTTACCTTTATGCTTTGTGTGAACAACTAAGTAAGTAAAGTTATTTATTAAGCGCTTTTCACAGACAGGCAGTCACAAAGCGCTGTACACAAATATTAAAATAAACAATATGATCAATAGACATTATACACAATGTAAAAGATCAAATGTAAATATGTAAAGAATATAAAATACGTAGATCAACAAAAGGCTTGTTTGAACAGAAAGGTTTTTAACTGCTTTTTAAAAGAATCCACAAAACAACTTAGGTGTGTTGCTTATGAAATCCATGAAGTGCTACAGAGGAAATTACATTTTATTCATGTAATTAACACATTTTGAACTCTTAAAGAAATATAACAAAAGGAAAGACACCCAGCTGAACTAGAATGATCCATGTAGCAAACAAAACTGTTGTGAGCCGCCACCCTTATATCGTCTTTGGGCTTTTGGAGCCTTGACCTGACTTTTAAAAAATAATTGGAAAAAAAGCACGACGATGCTAAAAAAAATAGATATTTGCAAAATTCTGCCTAAATATGTATTTTACCTGGTTAATGTGTGTGGCGGGGCGTGGTCTGCAGCGCCGCTGCAGGGGAGGCGGACGCACCTGAGCGGGACCCGCAATCACGCCTCGCTGCCTTAAAGTCTGTGCTCTCTCTGCTGTTGAAAAGCTACAGCTGGCTGTATGCTACAGCAACCGTGTGTGAAAAGGGGTCAATAAAGAGATGCTGAAAAGCATGCTCATGAAATCATCGATATGTTTACAGTAAGACTTATGGTCCCGAACCTCTGTTCACAGCGTCTGCAAATCGGGGCTTTCATCTTTACGCAGGACATCTGTGAGGCGTGAGCGGTGTTTGTTTTTAACATAGTTCACAGTGAAGAATGGCTGCTGACATAATGAGGATCCGAAGATCCATAATTGGCCTACCTGGGGTTGAAAGTCTCGATAAATGCACGGCGTTTCGGCGGGTACACCGGCTTCCGCGAGTGTGACGCTTATTTTGAGCGATGAAAAAATAATAAGATATAATTTTATTTTTATATTTCAAAATCACAATAATCTTCCAATTTAGAACTACAAGTTAAAAAAAGAACTAAACACAAATAAAATACACTTCAGCTAAATACTTCTAATTTATTTTCCCAAACCACCCGGAGCCGCAAAATAAAGACTAAAGAGCCGCATGCGGCTCCGGAGCCGCGGGTTGCCGACCCCTGCCCCAGGTGCTGTCAGAGCAGGAGGAGATGTTCACACCTACGCGTCCAAACTGGCAAATGAATCGCGCATGAGCGAAGCCGCTGCTCCCGCCCTGACTGTAACGCAGTCAGTTCTTTTACTGTTACTTTTTGTGGCTCACATAGTTTAAAACTACTTAAAACACACACACACACGTATCTATTTCGGGTCACTTTTGCCGGTCCCAAGCCCGGACAAAGGAAGACGGTTGGAAGTGTGACATAAAAAAAAACAATAATTGCTAAAATAAATTTAATGTGTAGTTCTAAATATATTCTAAATGCATTTAGAGTGGGATTTTTTTTTAACTCACTTCATGTCTCCTTCACGATGTTATTTCTGTATCCAACAGTAGGTTACAATTACATAAGCATAACCAATTAGGCAACTTAGGGATGACGTCATCTTGCGATTTCTAGCAACTTTTAGGACAGCCAATAGGGATTTTTCTTACTGAGGAGTTGGCAACACTGCAGTTGTTTGTGACACAACCCCCCTGCTGACAGCAAACAGCTACAACATGTAAACAATATTCTGCAAAGTGTAGGCTCTGCACAGGACTAATGCAAGACTGCATATCAGGGGGAGTGATCTGTATATAACACGAAACAAAGAGAGCAATGATCAGTGGGGATCTCTCAGTATGGTATTTCTGTAATGCCAGATTCACATGGGTGAATCTCACATGTCCTGGTTCTGCCCTGACCCGGTTAGCAATGAATTTGTCAAACTTCTCCATTGCTGCACCAATCAGTCTATCAGTCTTCCTCCTTACTCATGAACAGGACCCAAAGATACTTTAATTCCTCCACTTGGCAACAAGTCATCCCTGACCTGTTGTGGGTACTTCAAACGTCTGTGGGTCAACTTTGGAGATGTTAATGCTGCCGTCCATTTACCTCTGAAGTTGGATGTCAGAGCCAAGAGTGACACGACTCCTGAGTCGACAGCGCTTGGAAGCTGCTCCAGTAGTAAAAGTGAGGAAAGATAGAATTTGTTTTGCTCTTGGTAAGCAATCTTGCATAACACCTGTTGTTGGTTTATTTTTATTTGTAGAGTCAGTTCTCTGTGCAAGACAACAGTGGTAGTACAGAGTAAAAGTTTAAGTTTTACTCCTGTTTATGTGCACTGCTACCATCCTGAAGCAAGATTCCAGTTGGAAAATCTGACTAAGAAAATGAAAAATACTGCAGGTTTTTTTCATCACTGCAGCCAGGCAGACAAAGTTGTTGAGCCAAGCATTCCTTTAACATTAATAATCATGAATTTCTTCATAAATAAAAGTTTACCCATTAGAGTAAACTGTATAACATCCCAAAGACATGTCATTATACAGCTACTTTAAATCCTATTGATATTTATTTAAACTGTTCTCTCCAGTTGATCTTTCTGAGTAATTTCAGTTACTGCTTCATTCAAGCCATTCAAGCTGTTCAAGTTCTATTAGACCAAAATGTCCAACAATTAATTAATGCTTTAATATTAAATATGATCAAAAACCTATGTATGCCTTTAGGGTGGCTTTAATTGAAAACATTCCTGAAAAAGCCATCACCTGTCTTAGGCCAATCTCCAACCTTCCTTTTATCTCAGACATTCTTCACAGAGTAGTTGTAAAACACTGATCGGATGGAAAGGAACGTTTTTTCTTTTGAAGAGTTTCAATCTGAATTCCAAATTCATCACAGTACAAAAACAGCACTTGTGAAGGTTACAAAAGATGCTCTGTTAGCCTCTGTTTCTTCACTTCTTTACATTTCTCACTCTCTGTGTCATCCTTATACACCTCTCTGCATTTAATCATTAGTTATTTGTAATCTCTGGTTCTCTTCCACAGCGTGTCTTTGGCCTGTGTTCCTCCCTCATCCCCACCCAGTCGCAGCAGATGGCCACCCCTCCTTGACCCTGGTTCTGCCAGATGTTTCATGTTGTTAAATGGGGGGTTTTCCCTCCCACTGTTGCCAATGCAATTGCTCATAGGGGGTCACAGCTGGTTGTTAGGATTTCTCTGTTTTCTAATATTGTAGGGTCTTTACCTCCCTGTGGAAGACAAGGTCATTGAGGCAACTGATTTAGTGCTATATATATAAAAAAAAGGAAAAAGTGAATGGCTTGTTTTGGCAACATAGTGTATGTCATAAAAGAGAAACCCGTGTCTCCATTGTGGTCCCTCATTTGCGTCTTTATTTCTGGTTGACAGGGTCCAGATGCCAGACGTCAATACACAGCTGAAGCTCGGTGAAATTTCCCTGCTTTGCAATAGTGTTGTCTAATTTAAAGAAAATGACTACACGGATCCATGTTATGGTTTTGCTGTTATGGTTATACCTGATGTTTTTAGATTCACATTATGTTTCAATAATGTATTTCACAGTATTTCAATATTTAATATTGAGCTCATTTTCAACGTTTTACAGTATAAGCTATAACAAGCTATAACGAGTTTCACAGCACGAGCAGTGCCATTGGCCGACCTTAGCTTTCACAACTTTTAAACGATGCAATAGGAAACCTTTCTTTGGTTCACCATTTCTGATCTATGGAGACTGCATCATTTGTATACAGTATCATTTGAAGGATTTAGCCGCTGAATTGGGACACGTCTGTCTCTTATATGTTGGTAAACTTTCACAAAGAGGTGATGGTCAGTTTGATACCAGGGAAGCAGAAGTCTCTAATGCAACAGAGAAAGTAGTCGGTAATCAGGGGCTGTGATCAGTTTGTAATTTAATAAATAAATGGATACAGAAATCAAAAACACACACACATGAATGATTCATCGTCATTTTCGTGGAAGGTTTAGCGAATGGCACATTACTATTGCATTATGGGTAAATTCAAAGCAGAGTTTTAGCTGTTTTTTCTTGTTAGACAGGAAACTGTTTTGATCAGCTGGTGATAGTACGCATCAAGTTTCTCAACAGGTAAAGCTCGAAGCACTATCTTTCAGATGTCAGGCTAAATGTTTTGAAAAGCTGCTGTCTCCCAACAATAGAGGAGCAAGCACACCTGAGTCAGCTAGCCAATCAGATGCCCACCTTAGAGTGTTGGGGAATGAGATGTGGGGGAAGGCTTATATAAGTAAATGCTTCAGAAGCTGATTCATAGTGAAGGTCCAGTGTAGGTTGTCTGTTGCTATGGAAACACGTCTTTCTCTCCCATCTCTGCGCTGCATGTGAAACTTTCAGTTAAATCTACTCATCTAGTCACACTATCGAACTAATGCTAACTCAGCCATTGGTTCCACCCCCTGTGAGATAGGCAGGCGATGCTGTATATATGTGTGTCCATGCATGAATGTGTGTCCAAATCCTCAGTTCATCCATGCTCGGTGGATGCTGCAGCCAACAGTTTTTTTCTGGCAATGCACTCTATACTAAACCCCTTGGGCGTCCAGATTCAGTCCTGAAAATGAGACAGAAGGAGCAGTGAGACACACTGTAGTTCAAAGATTCCATGGCATTATTCTCAGAACAGACCCTGAGACTGATATTTACAGTGTGGAGACATTTTTATTCTTAGATTATCACTCTGATCATGTCTATGCTAAGCTAGTTAAGAAAAGAGCAGACTGATGTTAAGTGCATGCTAGCATAGCTTAGTATGTTAGGAAAGTGTAGCTCTGTAGCATTGTGCTGTGTGATCAAACTGCATATTTCAGAGTGGCCTTTTATTGTGGGCAGTCTAAGGAAGCGGTCTCCAACCTTTTTTGCGCCACGGACCGGTTTATGCCCGACAATATTTTCATGGACCGGCCTTTAAGGTGTCGCGGATAAATACAACAAAATAAAACTAGTACCGGTACCAGAAAAAAGAAAATTTATTCATAACACACGTGAAAAGACCCAGGAAAACCGAGTTAACGATAAAAACGATAACAAAATCACGCTGAAAACCGATAAAAACCCTGAAAACTATACATTTCACACCTGAGCCTCAACTCTCGCGGCCCGGTACCAAACGACTCACGGACCGGTACCAGTCCGAGGCCCGGGGGTTGGGGACCGCTGGTCTAAGGCACACGATATTCATGCTGTCTAATCAGCACCTTGACATGCCACACCTGTGAGGTGGGATGGATTATCTCGGCAAACGAGAAGTTCTCAATAACACAGATTTAGACAGATTTGTGAACAATATTTGATAGTAATGGGTCCTTTGTGTATGTAGAAAATGTTTCAGATCTTTAAGTTCAGCTCGTGAAAAATCGGAGCAAAAACAAAAGTGTTGCGTTTATATTTTTGTTCAGTGTAAGACATGCATGTTAGGTGATTCCAAATTGGTTGCAAATGTTGTGGTTAATTGCTTAAAGTGCATAAAATAAAATGCTCTGTGTATGAGTGAATGAAGCTTGCCGTTTTTTTTAACTTTTTAACAACCCTTCTGTCCTCATCCCTTGAACACACATTACAGAAACAACAACATTCAAGCTACCTGGTTGTGGTCAACTTCTGTATCTCCAGAAATCACAATCCTCTTTTCTATTCTGGTTTCAGAAATCCCCCCTTTTGCCATCTGAAGAAGAAAAGGGAGAAACATCCGAATTCAGTCAAGCGTATTTATCTTTCATATATGTCTTCTATGCCTATTCTCAGCTTTTTAATGCTGTTTGTAAACCCTTAATAGTTTCAACAAACCTTTTCAGCCATGACAATATTACCATGGTTTGCAGTGGGATTTCTTAGGTTATGGTTTTACCATGGTGACACGTGTGGGGCTCATGTAGTAGCAGTAGTGCTCCCATAGTTATCATGTCATTTTGTTGATGGGTGTGTGGTGGTATTGCCATGGCAGTAATGTAAATCTTGCGTATTATGGTGGTACCTTGGTCCTGTGTTACCTTGGTGATGTGAGTGGTGGTAGTGGTGTTGGAGGTCTCGGTAGTGTAGCTGTGTGAGCTCAGCAGCAGACCAGCAGGAGTATCAGATTCTACTTGGCTCTGAAACAAGTATGAACATCAGCCAATGAGGAAGAGTAATAACCAAATACCAGCACATTTTTGTACTGATGAAAAATAAATGTTGAGGATAAAACACAGGATGTCAGTCTGGGGAAAAATATTTATGTATCCATCTATTTCTGGTACTACTCATATTAACTACACATCTTTTGATTGATTAAACTACGCAGTAAACTTTTACATCACTTCAAAGTAATCCTCTGAATTCTTTTCACCTAATTAAATAGTACAAACTGACCTCTTAAACTAAACACTTAGTCTTCCTCATTCCCAGAGTGTTTATCTTCCTAATCAATGTTGCCTCTTAAAAGAGGCAAAATTGAACCCTTTACAGCCAGCACCAGCACTGGTTAAGACATCCTGAGGTCTCAAACTGAGTGTTCTTGCCTTTATCATCTTAATATTCTGAAACAGGTAATGCTGAGCTAAAAGGGGGTCTAGTTCTTAGCCAATGGTCATACTCTAGTTTACAAATTAATGAATTTTGTCTTCACAAACTAGCCACTGAGCCCATAAAGTCACCAGGAATAAATAAAATTACTAACATTAAGAAGCAAGAGAGCCGAGGGAGGTTTTCCCACAAACCTCTTTAAAACCACTCATAAACCTTTTGCAGTCGAATGAGATGTTGCTTGGTCTCCATATTGACTTCCCTTTCAAGACTCAGAAGCTATGCCCATCTGATATACAATCTATGTTTTAAGCAAAATTAGGAAAACGGGAAAGTCGGCCTAGAGTTTGAAAATATATCAAACTCTCGTCTGACTGACATAATATTTCGATGTATTCATGTGAACAGAGGGTAGATTAGATTTTAAGGAAGAAATGGGCCAAAGGTCACTGGGTCAGGTGGGGTAGGTGCAGTTTCAGGGTGGTGAAATGGGGCAAGGGTAACTAGTATAGGAGTCGCAGATGCCATTTGGGCAAGTGTCTCAGGTGTTACCTCCTGTAGTGGTTTGAACTCATCGTCATCCCTGTGGGCAGATGGTTGCATCTGATGGGCCAAGTGCCTGGATGTGGGATGGAGTAAAGAGGGCGGAGGGGTTTTCTTCAAACTGCCACCCTCCTTCATCTTCCTGTGAGTCGTCTGAGTCTTCGTTGTCAGTGTAATGCAGAGTCCCAGGTGTTTGAGAGTCCAGGACAGAGCTAGCTTGCTCCTGTTCACAAAAGCTAACTGCTATCTTGTTGTTAATGTTATCCTGATTAGTGTCATTAGCGTTGGGGGCCTGAGTCTCTCTGACTGCAGCTTCGATGGCCTCCTCCACTGCTGCCTGTACCAGCACACTGACGGCATCCTCACTAATCTCACTAGCATTGTCATCGCTAGCCTGGCTGCTGGGCTCGTAGCTAATATCATCATCATCATCATCATCATCATCATCACTTGTTGGACTATTAGCCCGACCATCATTAAAACTGTCACAGGCCCATTGCTGTGTGCTATCGTCAACACCTGCTGGGTTGGCTGGTAGATTACTAAAGGGCATGCCCACATGACTTTCTTTTGCTACCTTTTGCTGGTCCACCATTGCCTCGTCCTCGTCATGTGGCTCTGTCACCAGCATTATTGTCTCCACCTTCTCTGAAGTCTGAAAAACGAAGTGAAATCACAGAACATTAGGTGATTATTTTAACAAGTGATGTCTCCTTGATGAGAGTGCTGCACATGTGTGTCATTCTGCTGCAAACCGATTTGAAGGACTGATGTAAATGGCAGTTCTTTGTGAATTGAATTGAACTGACCTTCTCGAAATACAGAGGTTAAGCAATATTTGGTTATTATTCATAGAGTAGGAAATGGAAATGACCCCACCAGAGTCCAAATGCTGGTGGTGCTGGAGATGGCATGACATGGACATAACAGGTTAGCTATGGCATAATATATGAAAAGAGTATCGACATAACTAACTGAAAGGAGTATGGTGTAGAAAGGACGGAAAGCTGTTGAAGGCCAGGAAATAGAACAGAAAGCCTACGATGAAGGTTTGGTAAACAACTGCCTGCCAGTTACCCCAGTACCCCTCAAAACATGTCCACAGCACTATATGTGTGTAGAATTTCACCAGCTATAAAACAGCAAGGACCAGAACTTTAAATCTGTGCATAAACCTTTTTCAAATGAAACTGTGACCAGCAGATTGGGTACTGAGGAGCCTCGACTGAGTAAGTGACACACATGACTTTACTTGCTTACATTTAAATTATGTGCCTCTGATATTAGTTTTGAACAACCACGCGCCACTGCCAGCTAATTTTACAGTGAGATGGACTGTACACTAAAGTGTGATGCAGTAAAAATCTGAATGGGGCAAGCTGGAAAAGATGACCTGTTAAACAGGGTTGTTGTTTGCAGTGTGGAAACACAAGTTTGTGAAAGTGAGATCAGAGAATGAGGCGATGTAGGATTTTGAAATTTACAACATAGGTCCATCTTCTAAAAGTCTCAGATGAATTTGAATTTTAGTGACCTCGACCTCATGGTGAAGGTTCTTTCAGGTACATGCACTAGAAATCTTAGACCAGTTCAAATCCTGGTGACCTTGTCACCTCAATTTACGTATTTCTTTCCCAGAGCTGTGAGACCATTTTATGGTCTTTAACAGCACAATTACAATTCTTACATAAAAATAAGTCATGCATGGTCTAATAACAACAAACCTTTGTCATAGTCCACGTATCAAAAGAGCTACAAACAGGTGATCTTTTAATTCATTTGCTGGAACGTGAACACTGAGATGAAAAATGTATTCTTGAATTCTTTATAATTAGACTCTTAATCAGTGCTAGTTATGTGTTAAGCTCGAACTAGTTAAACTGTGCACTTCAGGATCTGAGGATTTTAAATTAATTTATTTTACTTATAATATTTTTGTGAATATGTAGCCTTGAAAATGAAAGGACAGCTTAGAATAACCAGAAACCACTGAGGTGAGTATGATGGTATGATTCAAAAGCTAGTCTCAGTCTCCAGGTTTGTGCATTCTGAGCAACAAATCATCTCAGCTTCTCAAGAACCCTCCATTGCCACAATTATTGGTCCGAGTTCTAACACTAAGGACATAAGCAGAGCATGGGTTCTCCTTGCCCCTTCACCAAAAGTACTGATCTGATTCATGTCCTCCAGGCTGTTATGACATCCCTGCAAGACATCCACACTCCCCTGCATCCTCTAGCAAGATCATAAAGAACAACCCTGATACCGATCTGCTCCATGACCCTGTAGCAGCTGCTTCAGATGGGATGCTGGATTTCTTTTACTGGCTGAGAGAAGCTGCAGTGAGGAGAACTGATTGTAGGTTTGACAAGATGCAGTGCTGGTTCTCATACATAAGAACACTGAGATTAAATCCACAGAGAAAAGAGACTTATTAACTCACAGAAGGCAGGCAATAAAATACCTGAAAGAGGAGTTAAAGAGAGCCAGACAAAAATACAACTGGACAACAAGGAAGACAGCTAGTGAAAAAGGCACCTTGAGCAGGTCGTGTTCTCTGAAGGTTTGTTGCTCTCTGGCTGATTTCAGCAGAGCTGTCAGCTCAGGAGACATATCATCAAATGTAGGTTTAGGCTGCACATATCAAACACACAAAAAACAACAGTTACAGTGAAAACAAAGAAGAAACTTGTAATTAAAAGTCTCAAAATAAAACTCCAGCCATGCAGGGGACACTGTGGAGCCATGGTGGGCTTATTTAAAATAGCCTTGAATTATGTTGATATTTTCCTATCTAAAGCCTCCTTGTCTTCCTGCCTCAGTTTCCAAAATGCATCCGGAGGAGAGGACCTTGATGGAGGAGCTTTGGGTAAGAATGTACAAGTATGTCTTTGTTAATTATAATACCACTGTTAGTGGTATTATAACAAGGTGGAAGCAGCTGGCAATGACAGCAACTCTGTTTTAAAGCAAAATCAGAGATTCTCATAGTGCACAGAGGTCTCCAACTCTCTGCAGAGACAACTAGTACAGACTTCCAAACTTTATGTGGCCTTCAGATTAGCTCAAGAACAGTTCATAGAGAGCTTAATGGACTCTCTAGAGTACCAGATGGAGTGGTGTAAAGTGCATGGTCTCTGGAGTTACAAATCACACTTCTCCATCTGACAATTTCAACTGATGAGTCTGAGTTTGGCGTTTGGCAGATGCGTTTATGGTGTGGGGTTGTTTTTCAGGTGTTGGGCTCGACCCCTCTTCTTAAGTAACTCTTCAGACATTTTGGACAATTTCATGTTCCCACCTTTATGGGAACAGTTTTTGGATGGCTTGTTCCAGCATGATTGTGTGATTGGCCACACAATGATCACCCTTGATGTGATCATTGTGTGGCCATAGCTCTCCATTTTGTGGTTGGTCACTAGTATGCTTGATTTACTGAACTTTTTGGATTAAAGTAACTTGTTGTGGTATAGGGCTGCTTGTATGTGACTGTTTGTGTGGTGGAGACACACCCACACAGGCACCTTCAGGAGGAGGCCCTGCTAGGGCCGTAACAACCAGTAAACAATGCAAGGTTCACAGAGCCATGGATGAGTGATTTTGGTGTGGAGGGACTTGAACGGCCTGCACAAAGTCCTGAGCTCAACACGACAGAACAACATGAATTAAAGTGGAGACTACAAGACAGTCTTTCTCATCCAGCATCAGTGTCTGACCTCACAAATGCACTTTTGGAATAATGGTGAGAAATTCCCATAAACACATTCCTAAATCTTTTGGAAATCCCTTTTAGAAGCCAGGCTGACACAATGTCAGAACTCTGCTGAGCCAAGTATTCCTTTAGCCTTAACTCATGTAAAACAGCTAACTCATATGCAGAGGAATTTTATTTGAAGAGTTACAGTTTCAGAGCTCATCACAGCACAGAAACAGCTTTAGTGAAGGTTAAAATGATCTTTTTGTGGCCTCTGACAGTGGACTCATCTCTGTGCTTGTCCTGCTAGACCTCAGTGCAGCATTTGATACTGCAGACCATAATATATCATTACAGCGATTAGAGCATACTGTAGTCAATATCTCTGAAATTAGAAACATCCTGTGTCAGAGTGATGTTAGGCAGTCTTTTAGGCTAGACTACTGTAATTGATTATTAACAGGATTTCTTAAAACATCCTTAAAAAGTCTTCAGTTGATTCAAAAAGCTTCAGCAAGAAAACTGACAGACTGGCTTACTTGTGGTTGCTATATTAAGGCTTATAGAAAATATTAAATTTCCTTTAAAAGAACATGAAAGT